ATTAATTATATATATTTACCCAACAAACCAGTGCTGACACCAACAAGCATTGGGATTTACCATGGGTCGGTGCGGGGGGGCGGGGGGGGGCGAATGCTGTCCTTTGGAGATACAGGACAGACAGCTAAGCCTGCCTATCCTCTGCCACTAGGATCCACCCCATCCCTGCTCCTTTGAGCCTATCTTATACATCAGAGGTCAGGCGCAGGGTGCCTTCTGGAAGGCAGTATAATATAATGCTGGGGGGAATTGGAAGGAACTTAAGTGCCTTTGTTCTGCAAAATGAATGTAGCTTGATCTTTTTCCTTTTCTTTTCCTCTTTCTTCCCCAGACCCCCTCCCCCTCACTTTTTTAAAACATATTTTATTGATTCCAGAGAGGAAGGGAGAGGGAGAGAGAAACAGAAATATCAATGATGAGAATCATTGATCGGCTGCCTCCTGCATGCCTCCCCACCAGGGATTGAGCTGCAACCTGGGCATGTGCCCTGAAGAGGACCAGGAATTGAACCATGACTTCCAGGTTCATAGGTCGATGCTCAACCACTGAGCCATGCAGGCTGGGCCCTCCCTCCCTTTTTTATTTTTTAAATATAAATTCTCATTGATTGGGAAAATATATTCACACTTTCAAATGCTGTGCAGGGACTTTCTCTGGTCCAAGTATGTCCCTTTGGGGGGAAAATATGTAGTTCATGGTGATGAATTCACTTCACCAGTAGAAAAACTGTACACAACTATACTGCTAGGATAATACCTGGCGGCAGCCTTTCTGTGTCTCTGAATCAAGATTTCCTATCCTGACCTATGACGAGATTACAGTTTTCACGGTAACCGACCCATCCAGGGAAAGCTGCTGTAATTTACAGCAGGCTTGCAGCGAAACAGCCAGTGGACGATCATCAATTTAAACTGTAAATAAGGGCCTGCTTTGTTCTGGACTCTGATCCCAGGAACGCCCCTAACAAACTGCCTGCAAAGCCAGGGCAGGCCGGCTGCCTGAGACGGGGTGATTGAAGAACCCCACTGGGCCTCAGGAGCAGCTAAAAATAGCAAGGAGAACAGGAAGGCAAAACAGGTTTCTGGGACCACAAGGCAGTGACCCCATGTCAGTTTTATTCCAGTTCCTCCCACAGATATGAAAAGCAAATAGAAATATCTGGTACAAAAGATGTTCCCTGGTTTCAGAGCTCCCTAGGGAACTCAAAGAACTAACACAACCCTTTACAGGAGCCTGCCTCTTCACTGGAGGGCACGGAAGTCCTAGGGGAATTGGAAGGAACTTAAGGGCCTTTGTCCTGCATAATTAATACAGCTTGATCTTTTCCTTTTCTTTTCCTCTTTCTCCTTCCCCCTCTTTTTTAATCTAAATATTCACTGATTGGGGAAATATATTCATACTTTAAAATGTTGCGCAGGTACTATCTCTTGTCCAAGTGTGTCCCTTTGGGGGAAGGAATACGTATTTCATGGTGATGAATTCACTTCATAAGTAAAAAAAAAACTGTACACAAATATATTGCTATGCCAACTTTATCGGTTTCTGTACCACTGGGAAGACCTCCATGGTCCTCCAATATTTCTTAAATCTATCAACATCACGGAAAGTGATCCTGAAGGCCTCGGTTATCTGCAGAGGAAGAAAAGCAAAGGTCCCTTCTCTTAGGTTCCCCATATTTATGGGAGAATATGGTGACTTAAACAGCTCAGGCCTGGCTCTGCTTCTGGAATGAAGCTGTCCCAGAGGAAACCATTGTCTCATAGTCATGGGCAACCCCTTCTCTTTCTCTGGACTTAGGGTTGGCCAAGTCTTGCTTTCAGCAAAACGCCCATGGCCAAACACCCTCTCTAAAGTCCTCCAGATAGCTCTAGATTAGTGATGGCGAACCTTTTGAGCTCGGCATGTCAGCATTTTGAAATTAACTTAACTCTGGTGCCATGTCACATATAGAAATTTTTTGATATTTGCAAACATAGTAAAACAAAGATATATTTTTGATATTTATTTTATATATTTAAATGCCATTTAACAAAGAAAAATCAACCAAAAAAATGAGTTTGCGTGTCACCTCTGACATGCGTGTCATAGGTTCACCATCACTGCTCTAGATTCAGGTGCAGTGGGAGTGAGACCAGGGTACTGACATGAGTGGACTCCATGGCAGGGCACCTTGCTGTATGCTGTCTAAGCTTTCCTTTCAGTCTCAGGAACTACTTATCTCAGGACTTCAGAGTCTCAATCTTTAAGTCCTGCTCCTGCAAACAATCTTGGAATCTCTAGGTCATCACCTATTCTGATGCTAATGAAAAGACTATGCTTACTTATGATATTTGACATCTTATATATTTTAAAATATATTTTTATTGATTTCAGAGAGGAAGGGAGAGATAGAAACATCAATGATGACAGAGAATCATTGATTGGTTGACTCCTGCATGGGGATCCAGCCGGCATCCTGGGCATGTGCCCTGACCAGGAATTGAACCAGGACCTCCTGGTTAATGGGCCAATGCTCAACCACTGAGTCACACTGGCTGGGAAAAATCTTGTAATTTTAAATCATATTTTCTTCTAATGGACATCATTAGATTAGAACAATTCTCAGACATCTTCTAGTAAATTTCTTTGTTTTGCCTAGATCAGTTTACAAAGGGGAAATGAAAATGACTCACTCACAGTCACCTGCAAGGTGGAAATATTCTCGAGGAAACTTTCAATGACAAAAATGTCATGTTCCATTCATTACGAAAATACAGGACCTCTGAGGGTGGAATGCTGGCTTATTTCTCTTTGCAGCCTATGGTGCTTACAGTTTGTTGATTGCTAAACAAAATTTATTAAAAATGTGAACTGGAGGAAAAATCAATAGGGTTTATAAGAATTGATTCAAAGCTAAGCAAAATAACTAAAGCTCATCATAAAAATAAAGGATAGCCCAGCCAGTGTAGCTCAATGGTTGAGTGTCGACTTATGAACTAGGAGGTCATGGTTCAATTACCAGTCAGGGCACGTGCCAGGATTGTGGGCTGGATCCCCAGTGTGAAGCATGCAGGAGGCAGTCAATTCTCTCTCATCATTGGTATTTCTTTCTCTCCCTCTCCTTTCCTCTCTTAAATCGATAAAAATATTTTTTAGAGACTATAAGTTCAGCTCCTCAATTTAGTTCTATATACAGATCAAAATTGTTTATATCTAATTATTGATGATGGACCAATAATCAGCCAGTAAGGGGGTGATGGGAATGTTCAGGGTCTATCTCTCAATATTGAAGATGACATTATTAAACTGTGCTGTGTAATACTATGGCCATCAGCCACATGTGGGTACTTGCCTTTAAATGAATTAACATTACATAAAATGTAAAACCCAGTTTCTTGGTCACACTAGCCATATTTCAAAATACTCAAGACCCCAAGTGGTTCCTGTCTACAGTACTGGACAGCTTAGAGAAACATTCCTATTACTGAAGAAAGTTCTAATGAACACTGTTATTTATAGAGGATAATCATGACTGTGACCTCCAATAATTATATGAAGGAGGAGGAAAAAGAAGGTGAGAAAAGAAGAACAAAGGGAAGAGAAAACATTGATTAAGCTTAACTAGTCTGTGCTAAACACTGGAAATAACTTATTTCATATAATATTCACAATGCTCCTCCTGAGGTATGTCCTATAATTATCCTCTATTTTACATTTGATGACACTGTGCTTGGAGAGAGAAAGAACATCACCATAGTTGTACACTTGCTAATTGGCTTAGCTGGGTTTTTACTCCAGCCATCGGACCAGTCTATGGGCTCCTGGCAAGTTCTGCTGCTCCTACTGAAGAACCTGACATGTTTAGAGCCACGGGAAACATTATACTTTGCATAAGTGGTTCTTCATCCTAGACACAAACCGAAAGCATCTGGGGAGTTTGCTCAAGGTACCTGAGCCCTAATCCAGAGCAATAGGATGGGACCGGGGCTTGGACATTTGGGGACCGCTTAGTGCTTTGAATGTGCAGCCAGTGTTGAAGATAACTGTTTAGAGTTGTTCTCATCTACCTTCCACAGTTGGGTAACAAAATGAAGACCCTGCCCAAGGCCATTAACAGTCACTCCTGACATATCTGAAATTTTCTTATTTAAAAGCAAACATTTTCTTCCTAAGAAAATATCTCTCTTGGAAGAGTAATAGGAGCAGTATATTGTACTATGACTGTCAACCAAGAGACCTGAATTCTAGTCCCAGCTGTGCCCATAACTCTGCCACGGGAACAAACCACTTCTTTTCTTTAAACCTTAGTTTTCTCACCTGTAAAATTAGGGTGTGCTATATGATGATCTACCGGGTTCATTTAAGCAGTAACTCCATCCTGGCGTTTGTATGCAGGTTGTATAAACTTTAGAAATAAAACTTCCAACCTGCTATGGTGACAATGTACTCACTTCTATTCTAGTTCATTTATTTACTCCATGTCCATGGAAAACGGGAGGACATCAGATGAAAATCCCATCTTTTTGTCAAGGCTCATTCTGATTCTCATCGCTGATTCGTCAGAGGTCTTATGAGAGAGTCAGCAGCCTCCATCTAACAAGATTCATTGCCTGTAGTTGCCTTTTGAAAATGGTAATGGTATGCCTACACCTTGCCCTCCTTACAGTCACAGCTGCTGATCTGAAAATTACAATGTCAGACATTTTACCACCTTAACGCTCATCAGCTCATCTATACATCTCTTAAAGCTTAACTGTAATGGATTTTTAGGTAGCTAGAGAGGTTAGCCAAGCAAAACAGAAATCATATCATGACTAAGTAGCATGCTGAATATACATTTCTTACCTTACGCTTGTTGGTAGGACACACGTAGAGATAACTTAAAATTGTTTTCAACCCAACTTTATCATTCAGCTTCTCATAGGTTGTCCCATAATCGGTTGACCTATAATTCAAAAGGAGCATTAATGAGGACAGAAGGATACGTCATTTGGCTGCTTGTCAGTATAATGTATGTTTTCCATAGTAGAATGGCTCTAGGGAAGTTGCTAAGTGATTCATGCAGTATATAATGATGCTTAATTATGTACACAGTGGCATCATGTGATGATTAACATTTGCATTTAAATTGAATTGGTAAAAATTAAAACCCCATCTCTCTACTGCTCCTTAACCCTTGATGCATGCACATTGCATAAAGGATGTGGTTAATTTTAAAAGCTTAAGAGATGAGCATTTCCCTTGTATTGACCAAAGAATAAAGAGATTTTTATTTAGATTTGACATTTCCAAACATATGCTTTTAATCTTTGGCACAATGGAAAAGGAGATTCTCCTGATTTATCTACAAGTTGTGTCTTCTTCCATGAGTCATAGAATATATGGTGGGTCAGTCCTTTCAGAGGTCATTTCCTGTTATTGAAGAGCGAGAAAATGTCTTAAAGTGTGAAATTTCACCATCTTACTCAGTGGCCTTTTCCAGGGTTCAGCAACCTGGAGGTGAGAGGACATTGCCTCTTGGCACTGACCCTACCTCTGTGGAGATTCTTTCATCTTTACCCAGCCATTGGTCAACAACTTATTGATTCAGACTGAATAAATAGGCCTTAATCACCCTCTCTAGGAAAAGCTATTATATATTTCAGAATTGTAATTGTATTAGACCATTATTACCACTGTGTGCAGCAGAGAATATTATCTGTATTTGAAGAAATTGGTTGAATGAACTTAAGTGACCTATTCAAAGAAAATAGCTGATAGGTGGTCAGCCAGAATTTGAATCCAGGGATTCTGACCCTCAGTGCTGTGTTACCAATATTATGCCACAGCTTTATTTTTTTATTTAAAGTAAACAGGTATAAATAAAAGTTCCTTTCAGCCTGCTTTTTACAGATAGGAGAGTCCTGATACCATTCATTCATTCGTTCATTTATATATGTTTATAGAGCTCCTAAAAATGTGCCAGGACACAATACATTGCTCCTACTCTCAAGAATCCAACAGCTTTACATGAGGGGCAGACACATATAAACTTATGATGTGTTAAGTGCAATGATACAGATAAGAATTAACAAGGCTTAGAAAATAAAGTTGGTTTAATTAGAAAAATATAAAAATGTAATCACCTTAATTCATTTCTAATACTGATAAAAGTTACATGTCCTACAGGTCAGAAAGGCTAAACAGAAGTTTGTGCTAATAATCTCATCACCATGAATTAAGGGCCTACTCCAGACCAGGCACAACAGCATGAAAGCTGTGTAACATGTGATTCTGGAATTAAGGAAATAAGAATTTATTCTGGTTGAGGATCCAGGGTATTTTCACCCTAAAAAAATAAAAATAAAAAATATATATATGGATATATATTGTATTCGTATTCTTGCAATTATATATTGTAATACACTATGTAATATATTTGTATATGTTACAAATAGTAATTCAAGATTGGGATATTATGCAAAGATTTTTGGAAGACCTATGGAACTTGACAATGGAAAATGGGTAGAACTTTTAAAAAGAGAACTGGTAAGAGCACTATAAACTAGAAGGCACTTTGTATAACCTGAGGATATAATCTGCTTTCCTCAGGACCATTTGAAGAAAATCCAAAACTCTTTCATAGATTTTACCTCTGGATCATATTCTTCCCAAACTCATGCTGATGTGAAATTTCCTCCTATCTCCCTGAAATCTCTGAGACTTATTTTCTAACTTAGTGCAATCTCAGCATTTGTTTATTTGTTTGTTTTTCCATTCTTACCCTGGCCTTACCGGGATACATGAGAAAAGTTTGAAAGGTAAGTGAGAAGAGAACTTTCTCTTCTTATAAAGACATATTTGTCTCAAAAATTTTACTAGCCTTTCTCTGGCTCATTTTCTTGGATAGTTTTTTCTATTCATTATTCTGAACAATACTTACAAATTCAAGAACAAACAAATAGATTCAAAATCCACATCAAGGGTGGTGATGTGAGGAGAGTGAAATGTGCAAATACTGTTACGTTAGTAAATTTTGCTATTGATAGGGAGAAATCAGTAGAACTAAGTTGGAAAGGAGAAAATGGGTCACTTTTCCTAGAGGGGGTAAAAGGAAAGGAGGCTACAGAAGTGGGGACCAGCCCAGAGAGAGGTGATGATTAGTTCTTATAATTTCTGTCAATTTGACCCCTGAGCTATTCAATGAATATTTTTAGATTAAAAAAATATTCTACAAGGACAAATAAAGATTATCCATAAGAATTTTATATAAAATCATCCTCATTTGCATGTGTTTGTGGGTGTGTATATTTACTGAAATCCCAATGTGATAAGATGATAATGAAGGAACTAGTTCAGATTTACATTAGCAACTTATTTTTTTAGAGAGAGCTTATACTATGTTATTGGATGCTTCCCTCATATTATAACACGAGGGGCCCAGTGCACAAATTTGTGCACCTTGAAAGGAACTGTGGGCTGCAAGGCTGTGGTGGGCACAGGGGCAGATCTCGGCCCATCCTCTGCACCCATGGCTGGCCCCTCCCGCCATGGCCCCCAGTCCCGTCTTTGCACAGCCCCGCTCCCGCTCCCACCACCTCTGCTCCCACCACTGCCACTCCCACGCACTGACTGCGCTGGCCCTGCTCACATGATTGGGGCCGGTGCCATCAGCGGGCGAGCGATCCGGAATGGAGCTGGGCGCTGCCAGCGGCTGCCAGCAGCGGCTCTGGCGCCAGCAATGGGTCCAAGCAGGGCTGTTGCTGGCAGCGGGTGCAAGAGGTAGCTGTCAGCCCTGATCGCCCCTCAGGAGCAGGGGGAGGTGAGGAAGCCCTAAGGGTGATCGGGGCTGGCAGGCACTGCTTGCACCTGCTGATGGTGCCAAGCGATCAGGGCCTGGGCTGGCAGCGGGTGCCAGTGGCCGGGGCAGGTGCGGACCGGCGCCAGGCGCCAGCAGCAGGTGCAAGCGGGGCTGGAGCGAGCAGCAGATGTGAGCACCGGATGGGATCACAACGTGTGGGAGCAAAGAATTTTCAGTAACCACCAAAGGCTCAACCCAATGATAGCGTGTCCGGTGCTCCCGCTCACCTGCTCCACCATCCCACCATGGCTGACACCCTCCATGTTCCATGCTCTCCCACTTGCTGCCAATGCCCGCCATGTTCCACACGTGCCCCCTGGTGGTCAGTGCACATCATAGCGACCGGTTGTTCCACTGTTTGGTCTATTTGCATATTAGGGTTTTATCTATATAAATTGATTCAGAGAGGAAGGGAGAGGGAGAGAGAGATAGAAACATCAATGATGAAAGAAAATCATTGATCAACTATCTCCTGCACACTCCACTACTGGAGATCGAGCCTGCAACCCATGCATGTCCCCTTGACAAGAATCAAACCTGGGATCCTT